GGTGATAGAATGTCCAATTTTAAGATAAAAGTTTCCTATAAACATGTATCAAAAAATATTAAATAAGGGAGCTACATTCCCTGAAAAGGGTACATCATTTAATGTTTTATTTTTCGACACTGTCAAAATTTACGGTTTCTCTCTCGTGTAAGGAAGTTTTGACAACTCGTTACACTCGTGGTTTAATAACCCACTCGGTGAAATAATAATCCGTCCGATTTACACTCAAACTCGTCGAATAAATAACTATTTCCAATATTGCAGCAACCAGTGTAGATAAAATTTCAAAATGTTGTACAACTAATAACCTTTATACACCCAAACGAATTCAAAGATAAAATGTCGAAATTTTTACTCAAGGGCGTCTTAAACTGGGGCTGTTGGTTTTACCACTTTCAGCCACAAAATTCTAAATATCATAGTTTTTTACAAATCAGTTAACAATTTGTCTTACAGATCATAAAGAGAATAAAAATTGAAAATTAAATTTGATTCACCGTTTAAGACGCCCGTGATTAAAAATTTCGATAACTGATCTTTGAGTCCCAAAAGAGTAATAAATTTTTACAGAAATTATTAACCAGCTGTTTTATTTTTAATTGAGATCGTGATAAAAAGTCGTCAACACTGATCAATACCCACGTACAATTATCAAATTTTTTTGTCATTTAGGTATTTTAGTTCCTTATCAACTTGTCATTTTCTTTAAATTACAAGTTCAGTTTAGTTAGAACCCAACTCTGTGATAGAAAGATAAAAGTAAATTATAATAACTCCTGTAATAGCCGTGTCAAAACTTATGCCATTAGGTTGAAACATTCTGTTTCTGACCACTTTTATTACCAACGATACAAAAGAAATAAAGAATCATTTACAATTCCTGATTCAACAATAATTACAATCCGAATGTAATTTCAGTTGGAACAAAACGACCCGACATGAAATTATCTGAAATATACATAACAACAAAGTCACCGAAAGTTCAACCAATCAGCCTAACTGTAGTTAATAGAAGTGAGAATGGGGGTTAGTTGTGTCATTCGTGTTCGGTGTGGCGTTGTAATGGAAATGTTGGAAATTATTTCATGGCACAAAATGTTGGAACAAGCAGAAACAAACAAAACCTACAAATTTTCGAAAATTATTTGTTTTCAAACTTTGTTATGTATATTCTACGAAATTTTGCCAGCCGTTTTAATTAAAACTTCCTATTTTTGATCTACCACAAATTCGAAATGTTGCCTAATTACCTCCCCAGCGTTAATTAAGTTTGGTTTTCTTTCTGCTCAGAACAACACTAAATGCGGATTTTAGTATAAAAGTGTCGAGAACTCACTTCAACATTTTAATTGAAACCTATTGTCTCAATCTAAACTCCATTAAGTGCTTTGTGAAATGTATTTCGTGTCCCAGTTTCAAAGATCAGCTAAAACACTTAAACAAAGATTAATTAGTTTTCGTTTTGGTCGTATCGAGCAAAAAATTTGCTCTATGAAAATTTTTGTGTCCAACAATGCCAAACAAGGGTTGCAATTTGTAGAGAGAATTGCGCTCGATCTCTTTTATTCCTAGCTTTATTCCCTTGATGTCCTCTCAGTATCTATCATTTCCAATTCGGTTCTATAAATAGCACCCCGTCAGAAACAAATCGGTGGCTTAAACACACCACAAGGCCCCAATATATCAAAAAATTACCGTGAAAATCGCACGCGATCATTAACTTCACTTTTTAAATCACGATAATGCGTAGGCTGGAAATCGAGCCAACAAATTCAAACGCGAAACTCAAATTTTATCCACTTTTGATAAACATATTTCCAATTTCCGGTCAGGCGGCGACTTAAACACAGCGACGTGACCTGAAAAAATTGATTCGGCGTTTTTGCGAATCCAGCAATTTTAATATTAGACGCTGAATAAAAAAAAATGATTAAATTTACGACACTCAGAGGATGCAACTACTCATCTACATGGTAATGTGGATTTAGTATGCGTGTTTTGCCCCAAAAGTCCTACAGGATGTGTTATTTATGATCCCGATTGTATCAACTTGTCCGCACTGTAAATTCACAAGATAAATATAAAGATAAATACCAAAAAATTAATTAACTACACGAAAACAGTTGTGTTTATTTTTATTATTGAAAAGTAATTGTTTCCCGGCGCATCCACCAAAAGTAACACTTTCAGATTATTATTTTAAAATTATGAAACTAATTTTTTTTTCTTTGTCTCAAAAGTACAAAAATCCTAAATAAACACTGCGGTTTTATTTGTATAACCTTTACTGGTTTTATTTTGCCGTAGCATTTTAATGTCAACAAGTCAAATGTAGAACTCACGTATAGGTCTGTTATTTGTAAACTACAACTTGTAGTTTTAAATCCAAATATAACAAAATAATTGCTAATATGTAGCGTTTTCGGATGAATCAATTTATTCCTATAAATTAAATCTTTAAAATATCTTTACTTCATATAATATTAAAAGTGTATTTTTGATAAAATATTTCATTATAATAAAAAAATAAACGTACATAGTTTACACTACAAAAACTTTTAATTGATTTAAAAATTTAATCATAAAACCCCTTTTACCTTTACAAACACAGTTTTTAAAATTGACGTCAAAATCTTTGCAGCTTTTTAAGTCCAATTTAGATGTTTATTATATTTTTAGCAACCCAATCTCCCCACAAATAAAATTAAATCGTAATCTCAATGTTCCCTTGTTGTAACGATCCAAAATGAGACAAAAAAACTGTTGCTTCAAGCCTAAACCAGTTGCTTTTCAATCCCCTACATCTAAGCGAGATGAATCCTTATTTCTCACTCGCAATACATTTCAGTGAAGAAATAATTTTTCTCATTTCTCTCCTGTCAACCTGACCTGAATCTTTTCGTTCCTTTCAAATCGAAAACCACATAAACAAAAGAGTTACAGTTTCATTCGAACAAAACCCATTTTAAACAAATAAAAGGTTTGTTAATTTTTTAGTAAACTGCACCAGAATTATTTCAGTTGGAATCTAATTTGTGTGCTAAAGTGGAGCAATCAGGGTTGTGAGGCCACTCCGAATTGAATTTCCTTGATGGGAAAGCTCTTTGATGAAAAACTGCCTCGTGAAGGTGTTGTATTGAAGCCGAAATCGCAGCGTAATGGAATGTAAACATTATCCTTTCATATGAATATCTTTAAAACGAGGCTCGCGTTACCCTCGGGCTTTTTATGTTCCTACTCACCTAATTCAAGCTCGGGAGGTTGGAAAACTGCCTTCGGTCGGGAAATGTCACTCTTTTCCGAGAGTTGCGCGCCGCGCCGGTGAAAACTTGAGACTGCTGATCGGACGTCAAGCGTCGAAATATCTACTGAAGCGACGCTGAAACTGAAGCTTTGGCCGCGCAGATCCTGGATGAGGGAAAAACTAAAACGCTATTAACGCTCCAGAGAGATTAAAAAGTGGTATAAATTTATACAGAAGTCCCTTAAGGGAAATGAAAAATTTTTATATATTGAATGACAGGGGAGAAAAATGACCATATTGATGTTTTATTTATCCACATGAAAACATGTGATTCGAAACGTCGAGAGCAAATTTCAGACGTGTTCTATTTCCAGACGGAAATTACAGGTTCATTGAACAAAAATTCACTGGAGACAATAACTGAATCATTCAGTGAACTGAGTTAGACTTTAATTTGCTTTAAAATAAATATTTTATACCCAAGATAATTTAAATAAATCTTCACATTGCAATAATGACTTCCTTACCTATTGTGTGAAGCCCACAGAAGCAGAAAAAAACAGTTAATATTTGCATAAAAGTGTGTAAAAAAAGTTTTTTGTCTTGATTAGTACTCGTCAAAAAGTAGTAGAATAATTGCTTTAAAGATAAAGATACAAATATTTTTTTAACAGTCACATAACTATTCAAACATTTTTTAATTGGTTCATACTATCAGAAAGTTGTGCATATTTTTTTATTAAAAAATCTCATTTATTGATTTATATGCCTAAACACAAATATTTATTTTAATAAATAACAAGCTTTGTCACGAGAAATATATCTTATACTTACATATTTTATTTGAATTATAAAATGCTATCTTATGTAGGTATAAATTTATTATCTTTTTATGGCTATTCCATTCTGTTGTTATTTCTGGCGTCTAAAAAAATGGGTGTGATTGTTATCAACCTTTCGAAAATTAATAGTTTCCGGACATATAAATTAATTTTCCCAGCTAGACTCACCCGAACTCGTAGAAAGCGTTGATTTGCTTGAAATCTAGATTTGTCCAAAAATAAAATCGTTGTTACAATGGCATGCAGCATAAACACGCAAACTTATTCTAAATTTAAATTCATTATCAACAAACTAACTTAGTAAGACAATCAAAATCAACTAAGATAATTTGCATAACACTATATTACCATATAAATCATATAATTTATGTATTACAGCAGAATAACGCTCCAATAATTGATTTGAATAGAGGCTTTAGATGAAAACAGACGCTCGATAATAATTATTTTGATGTTATATTATGAGATAATTAAAATATTTCATATACAAATTACTGAAGTAAATTAAATCTTTAATAACTTGCTGTAGTAGGTGCGTTCGATTTAATACAGACGAGTTGATTATTATAACGTAACGAAGGCGATGAAATTTAATTTATAACTTTGTGCAGTCACGTATTCAGTACACCATTATTATAATTAATACGTTTGAATAGTATTGCGTCCAGTTTCTTGAAGAAAATACAGTATGTTAAATTGCAAGTTGCCTTGTACGTTAAACAATGTTGGAAGACTGTATCTGAAAGGACTTGTTCCAAGTTCGCAACATAATTAGATGATGCATTACTCGTTTTATTAGTTGCGAAAATTGTGTCATAGTTCACTTCAGCCTCAAAATTAATTTGGAAGTTTATTATTGTAACAAAAATTAATAAATAAATAAAAAAATTCTCTTAAAAAATAAAACAACATTATGCTTTTAAGTCATTTTATTATAAATTTGTATTAAAATATATAATAAAATCTGAACCTGGGAACTGAAAAATTCCTCAACAGTTTAATTTTGTCAACAGTAATAATTATTATGTATTCGAACCTTACCACACGGATCCATATAAAAGCTCAAAATTTACCACTTACAGACAAAAATAACAAAAAATATAATCTAAAAAAATCAACACAGAAAGGGTAATAATTTAGATTGATCTTAAGATAACACAAATAAGGCTAAACAAAAAATACACTAGTGGTCAAGAACTTAGTTGCCCTTAAATAATTTATTTATTTATTTTTTAGATATGTCAACAGGGCTTTAACAAAGCCATTGTTATGAGTCCTAGAACATAAGCAACAATTACTTTTATCGCGACTCCCACATGTAAATATGCTGGTATGCTGGACTGTTCATTTTCATCACATTTTGTTGGAAGTATTAACACTATGATGAATACCACAGATAAAATTATAAAGTAATTTTTCACCGAAGGATCGGGACTAAAAATAAAACTAATAATAAAAATTAGCCACAATTATAATGACCCACTCTTTGCTTCTGCTTCTTTCTCTCGAGGGACTAGATTCACAAGCTGTGTAGGAATGAGAGCTATCATCACCAACACTAGAATTGTCTTTTTCTCCAGGTAAAAGGGTTGCAAGCACGCATCTCTTGCCTAATATCTTTACATAACAAATTAAAACAAATTTAAACGTTAATTTCAAACTCAACTCACTTGGCTTGTGGTCGCATCTTGCATTGTAATCATAAATTTATCTCTAGAATGGCAATTTGATTGAAATGGTGCATTGTGCCTAACTAAAAGATCTACATAGGAATGGGGGGCAATTGTGCCCTTGGGGTCCACGACCCCGTATTTATCAGTCGTATTTGCATATACTACAACTTCGTTATTACTTTTTCTGGAAGCAATCTATTGTTACACTTACCTTGATATTTTACAGGAAAATCGTAAGGGTTATAAAGTGTCAACAGTTGTTTGTGCGTGGTTTGACTCCCGGTGTAAAATGTAAGTTCTGTCGGGTATATAAAAACTGGAATTGAACGTTCTTTTAGGCTCATTCTACGTTGTTGTTAATTCCAGCTATTTTGCAATTTATTTTTTTGTGTTTTGACACCTCTGTCCGAGTTTGACACTAGTGTGAAGCGAAAATCCCCAAATAGTAACGACGCGCGCCGTTACAAACTGAAAGTGTATCTTTTCACACTTTCCTTCAGTGTAATACATATAATTTTTTCCTCAGTTTCGCCACTAAACCATGTTTTCCGTTTTAATGGGGGAGGGAAAATTTCTACTCCCCTGAGAGGTTATTGTCATTTTGACAGATAAGAGAGAAAAAAATTTATCACCCTAAGAATTGGCCACTTTCCTTTTTAAAATGAGGGAGAGAAAAAAAAGTTAAATTTCTGTTAGTCGTACGAAAAAAAATTGTATTAAAATAATTCATAAAACAAAAAGTTTATTCCTTTCTTTAATTACATAAATTAATAAAAAAAAGTTATTAAAAAAATATTTACATTTTAAAATACTTTTCAATGGGTTCCCCTAAAATCTTCTCCATTTCTTGAACTGCCTTCCTGCATGCTTTTTCCACACTTTCCTCCTCATCCTCTAACAACTCGGCCAAAACTGGAATCGTTTCCGGCAACAGTGGCAAATAATCAACTCCCAATTTAGTCACCATTTCCTTCAAACAATTCAACGAAACCAACCGAATTTCCGGAGAATTATGCTTCATTTTCAACAAAATCTGATAATTTAACTGCTTCCATAACGAATCATCAGCCGTGGCCACCGCAAATTGTACAATCGTCGGCGTGACCAACTCATCATTTCTCCTTTTCAATTCCTCAACACCACCCAAAATGTTTTCCAACTGATCAACCAATGGTTGCATCAAAACCTCAAACCGATCCTTGTTAACAAATTTGTGATTATCATACAAAAACACTGCATGAAGAGTCTTCAAAACATTTTCCAACAAGAGAACATTTTTCTTCTCATCATCGAAATAGAGAGTCTCACTCCTAATAACGTTGCAAGAGTCCAAAATCTGGGCAGCATTGTTGAGGAAATGACCGGCGAATAAGACAAAAAGACTTTTCAAAGCTTCCGCTATTCCACTCGACAAGGCGTAGAAAGTGATAAGTCTTTCAGTTTTTTGCTCGTGACGTGCCGCCCAATCAAACAGTTTATAATACAAGGGCTTAAAAGTACTTTCCGACAGTTTTAAAATCAGTTTAGTTAAAGCTTTGACGATTTGCGACTCCACTTCGTTGGCTTGTTCGAATGTTGTTTCTTGATCAGTCCTGAATTGCAAAGCATTAAGGAAAAAGTTTGTCAATTCAGGCAAATTCGCGCTAATTTCAGCCCCGTTCAGGTGATTCAAATTTACGGCTAAAATGTCGAGCAAAAATCCCACAGCATTGAAGGCTTGTTTCGTGATCAATCGATTATAACTTTGCCCAAGAACCGGTATTAGGACTCTAGGAGGAATTAAAGTACCGATTTGTTGTCGCAAATTTGACAATTTATTGACCACCGGCTGTAATCGTTCTTCATTGGGGTCTCCAGTCCAGTTATTTGCAAGTAGAGACAATTCATAAAGCAATTTCTCCAGATAAGGACTTAGAAAAAGAGGCAGTGTTTCTACAATTTTTTGTAAGGCTGTGACCGAACTCAATAGAAGCAAATTTGACGATTCTTGACTTTTCTGTTGCTTTAAAATCTTCAAAATTGCCGGCATAAAATTTGGGAGGCTTGGAATAGCGTGGGCTCGTAAATTCGTACAAAGTTCAGCTAAACAAAGTAAAACTGAAGCTAAGACATTGTTTTGAACTTTGCCACTTTTGACTAAATCGGTGACAAAATCGAGAATTTCTGCTAATTTGTCATGATAATCCGAAACCAGAAACTTAATCAAGAGTTTCAACGAGAGAAGAGCAGTCTGCACTATCAATTCGTCATCACTTTCACTTTGCGCCTCATCCACATTTTTAATTATTGAGATAAGTGGAGGTATAAGAGAGTAGATTTGTTCCGAAGTGCAGTCTTCAAAAAATGAAGGATTATTCTGTAATTTCGAATTCAACAACTCCATGCTACGCCTCCGTATCGTACTAAAATTATGCAACATCAAGCCTTTAATCACCAACAAAAACATTTGAGGAGTTAACAGTGCGTTAACACTATCTAAAATATCGTAACTCAAATGGAGAATGACTTTCCAATACTTGGCATGTTGTGTGTTTGCATTCTTATCTGCAATTTTCGAAATTCGATAAATGTAAGTCAAGATATTTATAATCATGTCTTTGTAAAGTTGTTGCAAGTCTAGCGATTCGTCATTTTTCAACGAAGCGACTTGAAAAACAAACTCTTTCGATGATAGTAGCCTCGCAGTAAAAATAATTAAAGTGTATTTGTAGTGACGGAATTGTTTCGGTGTTTTGTAGTGAATATCAAAAGACGAACTCGTATTGTCACTATCAACTTCGTCTGGCAAATCCTGCAAATATTTCATCAAGTTAATACAATTTTGAATCACGATTTCGGGGGAAAATTCTCGACAAATACTCGCTGCGATTTCTAACCGTTTCATGTCGTCTTCTTTGTTTTTCTCTCGGTGACTATGATTGACATGTGACTCGAAGATGAGCAACAAAAATATGTAAAGGTTGTTCTTGACTTCCAATTTCGTCAACAAATGCCCATATATTGGCATTCTCCGGTGCTCCGGAACGTCCAAAAGCGCGTCCACAAAAACCCTCAAAACCTTCGCTATAGTTTCAGGATTGTTATCCTTGACTAGAATCGGTATCACAGTATCAATAATCCTCGTTATAATCTGAAAACTATACGCATCCTCGTGTCTTAAAACCGACGACCCCATAAATGTAAAAATCGCCATAATATGGTGCAAAACTTGCGATGGGAACAACTCGGCCGAAAACGACAACATGAGAAGAGCACAATAGTGAGTTTGGGGATTTTGTGACGCCCTGATGCACTGAACGATCAATTCCATATTAAATGTAGTCTCAGCAATAGCATTTTTGTCGATTTTTTCTCCCAAGTATAGTATAGACAAGAGAATCAACTGCTTGGGGTATTCCACTGCGGCTTGCTCATCAAAATCGAGACACTTTTTCAAAATTTCAAACAAGACCGGGAACAAAACATCGATGTTTGTCAACTTTTTCTTGTCTTGGATAAACTCGAGCGCTGTTAGGCCCTTGCGCCACTCCAGAGTATCCAAAATGTCGACGGTGGGCACCACACTTATCCTCCGTTTTAATTTATTGGGGTCGATTTTAGGAGACTGGACGTCTCTCATTGAGACGAAATGACTTAAAATTAGTTTAGCGTCGAGTTCGATGACTTTAATAGTGTGACGAACGACCGGAAGGACTTCCGGGTTTTTGGTCAAAGTTGCCGTTTCGATGATCAAATCGAGAAGTTTTTCTTCAACTTGACGGTTTAGTTGGACGAAAAATTCGCGATCGAATTGTTTCAATAGTAGGACTGTTGCAAATTCCGGTTTTGAGCTAATAGTGAGAGTGAAGTCTGATTCTTTGAGACAAGTCTCAATCAATGACCAGACACAAGTGCCGAGTTTGATATTTCCAGCGATGGTGGGCTGGCAACGTTGCAAATTTCGAACGACAATCGATGATTTAACTTCGTCCAGACTCTTACTTTGTGATTTGAGCAAATCCAAGCAGTCACGTGATGTTTCCTCAAAAATTTCTATAGTGTTAATGTGGGACAAAAGCTCCAACATTTTTGATTTCAAATAGACCGGGTATTGGCCACAACTTGTCTTGATCAAGGCTGTTTTAAGCACTTTGGCATTATCCAAAACTTTCGAATCTTTAACAGTAGACGGTGATAAAAAGTTATACAAAATAAGTGGCAACTGATCATTGTCAACAACAATTTCCTCCCTCTGATCCAACAACTCCCTAAAGAGATGTTGGTGAGGATGTTGCTTCACTTCGGCTAAAATTTCAACAATTCGGAAACTCTTCTGCTTAACCTCCTCCGACGTGTGTAGCAACAAGGCCAAAAGCTGGGGAATAAAAATATCACTCTCGTCCAAAAGTGAACCCATCTCTTTGCTGTCCTTGACACTGGACAACAGTTTCACAACTAGTGACACACTTTCGGTCAAAAACTCCAAATTTTGACTTTTTCCACTATTAATCAAGTTTAGCAAAAACTCAATTTTGCATCTGAAATTTTTGCAGAAGTAGTTAATAAAGACGTGGACGTACTTCTTGTGATTTGGCGTGTTTTTAAGTAATGTGGTGGCAAGTAAAGTGAAATATTGATTAAAGTCGGTGTCGCTATGTAAGTCTACACGGCCCAATTCAACTTCCGGTCTGCGTGTCTTTACAATTACATTTTTCAAGCAAAGTAGAAATCCTTCAATGTGTAGTTTGCCGGCCCGGGCAACACTGATATGTTTTTGAAGAAAAGCGTTTCCTTTTTCGTATTTAATTTCGCAATTTTCGATAAAGTCGATAAAGATTTTGATGATGGTGATGTTGGTATCAATTGAACTATTTTCGGGTAGTATGCAACTCAAAATTAAAATTACCAGATATTTACTGAGTACACAGCGATCTGGCGTTTTCTGAATACTAGTGATAAAGTCGTGGATCAAGTCACTGCTGTCGTTCCTCATTGAATCAAAAACGCTATTACAAAACTGCGCACACTCCTCTCCTTTGGTGTTAATCTTCTTGAGTAAGGGATTCCCTCGACAGAATGAAGTCTCAGCAATTTTTTGCGCTGCACTTAACTGACTTTCAGAGTTTGGTAACAAATAGGGAAGCACGGCCACGAAAGTCTCCCAGTCATTTGACTCGCTTTGCTCACACAACATCAGCACGATTTCAGTCGAAACGGACTCCCAAGTCCTCAAATCGCTTTGATATTTGTAGGCCAGTTTAATTAAAACGTCTTTAAGTGCGTCTGTTTTCAGAACAGGGATATTCTTGATCAGAATTAGTGTTTCATAAACGACTTCGACGCTGTCGTCGTTCAAACGATCAATAAACGAGCTTTTGACCATTTCTTTTTCGCGTTCTCGAAGAGAGTCGTAATTATTCACCAAGTATGCAATTGCTTCCTTCCTGAATACGACATTGGGGTGGTATAACTTGGCCAAAACGTCGAATTTGCATCTAATTGTCATTGTTTCCGAGAGGATTTTTTGAAGGGATTTTCGCCTTTTGATCACTTTGCCTTGTTGGGTTGTCGACAGAATTTTGTATACTTCTTTGTCAAATTGGTCGGGATACTGGCGTTCGAGAGTTTCAATTATTTCAGTTAGCCACTTTTGGAGGTCTTCAGAGTAGGGTTTTTTGGTTTTAGTTCCGTCCAGCAAAAGACTACAATGTTGAACAATTAAAATCGATTAACTCAAAAACTGTTTTAGTTACCTTAAAAATATTTCCATAAAAGAGTCGTCGAATTTAATTGCCGCTAGAAGAGTCTTCATAAATGCACGATACTCCTCCAAGTCGAACTTAACAGCCCCATACAAGCACCCCTTGACCAAAGCCTTCAAGAATGGTGTAACGAAACAATTTCCGTTGCTCAAATCTTGCAAGACTTTCGGTAACCAATTTTTGCATATCAAACTGTAGCAAGCCGATTCAGAAATAGAATTATAGTGACTTTGAGATTGGTAAAGAATCAACAGAGTCAAAATTGATTCAGTTTTCAAAGTCTCGACCTTCGACTCAGATATTTTTTCAACGAATTTGTCCAAAATTGCATCAGTTAGAGGCGTTTTCATCACAAGTCGCCCCAAAATAACGTAAGAAGCGGCACAAAAATCCGGGATGTCTGAACTTAGGCCTTTGAGAAGCGCTGGTAGCATCTGAGTGATTTGAGCTTCATTTAATTCGAGAGAATTTTCAATAGCCCCCACGAAAACAGTGCAATAAAAATTGAAAGCTACAGTGAGTAACGAGGGTTTTTCAAATTGCTTCACAAGCAGAGCAATGAATTTAGCGACGAATTTTAAGAAATACACATCGCTAGATGCGTGGTTCAGTAGATTTTGTTTAGTGAGATGAACTCCAGTTTTTTGAAGCGATTTCAAAAAGAACCAACTATCATTCTCATCTTTAAATTTCATCAACTGCACCACTCTGACGAAAATATTCGACTCATGATACGGCATTATAAGCATAAGCAAATCTTCTCTGTTAAATTCATGGATGTTGTATCTATTTATAAGCCATTCAAGTGCCTTATGTGAACAGTTCAGCAAAAAATAAGGTGACAATTGCAGCATAAATTTCCTAATCACTTTATCCAACTTTTTGTTTGCGTCAGCGGATTGCACCGAACGCTCAAATTTTTTTGAAGTCAAGTGAAAAATGTTGTTTTTAAACTGTTCAAAGACTGGGTTTTTATTGATCAATTCCTCCAAACCGTCAAGTCCTATTTGGTAAACAGTCTCACGTTTCAATCCAGCTGCCTCTTTAGGGTCGAAAAGTAAAGATGGACGTTTCTTGTCCCTCTGTAACAGCGAAGTTTGGGGCAACGCCAAACGCTTGAGTTGCTCGCTCAGTGAGGTGCTCATCTTTAGAAACAAAAAATTGAAATAAAGTAACAATTACGCAACTACAAGAAGTAATTTACCTTTATTTCGTCCAAAACCGGCGCTTTTAAACGAAAATAACGTAAGAAATTACATTACACGTGACAAATGAAACACGCTGTGAAAGTGGGGTTATGATTTTTTAGATTTGTCAAATTATTTATCTACTAAAAGACATTTGAACTATTTTTTTTTTATTTATATATAAAATTCAAAAGTGACTTTTTATTTTAATTGAGGACAATTTTTGTTATGACTTCTTAGACATAACTGAAATATAAACAAATTGTATATTTTGCACAAAACAAAATATTGCCCCATTTCAACTACTGTCACTTTGCCAAGAATGAGGTTATAGATTGAAAATTTTAAAAATTGAAGAAAAATGTTTCGAATACGGCGTTGCACTCGTATTATAAAATCTCTTCGGTCATATTACACTGTCAAGAGTAACGAAGCCCCGAAAGATCCTCACCAAGTAGCTAAACAGATTTACTCAAAAATTAAAGCGACTGGCCCTATAACAGTTGCTGAATACATGAAAGAAGTGTTAATTAATCCCTTAGGTGGTTACTATATGCACAGAGACGTGTTTGGTGAATCAGGGGATTTTATTACATCTCCAGAACTCAATCAAATGTTTGGTGAAATGATCGCAATTTGGTTTTTAAATGAATGGTCCAAAGTGGGGTCTCCTAAACCAATTCAAATTGTTGAATTAGGGCCAGGACGAGGCACATTAAGTCAGGATTTGTTGCGAGTATTCGACCATTTTGGGGCGCTTCAGAGTGCCAGTTTACATTTGGTTGAAGTTAGTCCTGTCTTGAGTGATATGCAAGCAAGAAGATTGTGCATTCAATCTGATAATATTATCGATAAAAAATCTGTGATACATAGACAAGGGATTAGTCATCAAGGAATTCCCGTAAAATGGTACAGGCAACTAGAGGATGTTCCTAATTGTTTCACTTTGTTGGTAGCTCATGAATTTTTTGACGCTTTGCCTATACATAAGTTCCAAAAAACTAAAGACGGTTATAGGGAGATTTTAATTGACATAGATCCTTGTAAAGAATATTCGTTTAGGTATTTAGTTATGTCTCAAACAGTACCAAATAATATTTAATATTTTTTTAGATATATTATAGCGAGAGAGGAAACCCCATCTTCAAAACTTTATATAAGATCAAACGAGACTCGTGAACACTTTGAAATATCGCCTGAAAGTCTTGTTTTAATCAAAAAAATTGCTGAAAGATTAGAAATAGATGGTGGTTTAGCCCTGATTGCTGATTATGGTCATAATGGTAGCGGCACTGACACCTTTAGAGCGTTCAAAAAGCACAAACTACATGATCCTTTAGTCGAACCGGGAACTGCTGATCTCACAGCAGATGTAGATTTTGAGGCACTTTCAAAAAGCGCTACTGAAGCTGGAGGAGTGATCACTTTTGGACCTACTACTCAGCGAGATTTCTTACTCAAAATGGGAATTGAACATAGGTTCAAGGCATTAAAGCAAAATGCAAAACCGGAGCAAATAGATGGCTTAGAGTTTGGATACAAAATGATGACTGAAAGTAATCAAATGGGCGAACGTTTCAAATTTTTAGCACTTTTACCTGCTGTTTTGGAGAAACTACTGAAAAAATATTCAGTTGCAGGTTTTCATTAACGTGTTTTATATTAAATAAAAAAATGAGAACGAAGTTTTAAATTTGGCGCTCTTTAATGTCCCCATTCAAAAACTATCTAACTGAGATAGCGACTATGGTTATCTCTGTTTAATATGAAAGGTAAACTGAGATAAGAACAAATGGACGTGACTGAAAAACATCGGATGTGTCATCCTAGCCTACTACAAATTTCCTTTTTTGTAAAGTAGTCACATGTAGAGCTTCAAGAGTAAATAATTTAAAATTTTGATATTTTTGACTCAAGTAAAACAACAAAAATGCAGGTTTATACATAGATGTGGTGTTTTCTGGGTAATTTTTAATAAGAAATTAATTTTAGGATCCAAATGAGGACACAGAATGGAATGATGTTCTTAGAAGTAAGGGAATTATTCCTCCTAAGAAAGAAAAAGAGATAACAGAAGATCAAATTGTATCTATGTTAGAAGACACTATTGAACAAAAAACCTCAAGTAATTTAAGTTTAATTCAAGAATAAACTTTTATTTACATTTGTTTATTTTTAGCTGGTAAAGATTTTTCAGAGTTAGATGTTGATGAACTAGATGAGTTGGAAGATTCTGAAGATGAAGCTGTTCTTCTTGAGTACAGAAATAAAAGGATAGCTGAAATGAAAGCTCTGGCTGAAAAAGCAAAATTTGGCTCAGTAGGTGAAATTTCAGCTCAAGATTATGTGCAAGAAGTAAATAAAGCTGGTGAAGGAATTTGGGTTGTTTTACATTTATATAAACAAGGGTAAGATTGAAGATTTGTAATTTTATTTAATAATACATTTGATTTTCAGAATACCACTTTGTGCTTTAATTAATGAATATATGAAGCAACTAGCCGCTAAATACCCAGCTGTTAAGTTTCTGAAATCAATTTCAACAACTTGTATACCAAATTATCCTGACAAAAACTTGCCCACTCTCTTTGTGTACTTTGAAGGGGAATTAAAATCGCAAATTGTGGGTCCTGTGGAACTTAGAGGTCCAAATTTGAGCCAAGATGGTATGGCAATTTAATTTTAAGTTTATGGACGTTAATTAAACGATTATTTTCCAGAATTTGAATTTTTAATTGGAAAAACAGGTGCTATTGAGACCAGTATTAAAGAAGACCCAAGGCCAAAAATCAAAGATAAAATGTTTGCAGATTTGGCTAATACCAATGATTGGTAAAGTGGCAATAGTATTTTTATCTACTAAACGAATTTTGTAATAATATTATTATTTATTGCTGTTGCTTTATTGAATAAATGAGTTTGTTGGTCTTTCGAAATATTGGTGTTTTGAACTAGTGCAACTCCTACACTAGTGACCTCTATCTATTTGACAGTTGTCAAAACAATTCGAATTCAAATGCAGAAAATTCGTTAAAATGTTTGCAAATTTTTTAACAAAAACATGTGTGTAATTTGAGAAATAATTTGTGCAACTGTCCATTTTTGTGTAATTGAGGAAATAAAATAGTCGGAAAACAATTGTTTGATAAGTAGTTAAAATGGTGAGATACGCTGAACTGAAGGGCTTGTATGAGGTTGAAAAGACTATAGGCTGTGGAGGATTTGCAAAAGTTAAGTTAGCAACTCATGTAGCAACAGGGGAAAAAGTTGCAATTAAAATAATGAATAAGACTGGACTTGGTGATGACTTACCAAGAGTCAAATTAGAACTAAAAGCTCTGAAGTCGTTCTCACACCAACATATTTGTAAACTGTATCAAGTAATTAACAAGCAAAAAGTGTATATTCTTTGCTAATTGTCGCATTTTAGGTAATTGAATCGGAAACGCACTTTTTCATTGTCATTGAATACTGCTCAGGGGGTGAACTTTTTGACCACATTGTTGAAAAAAGCCGGTTAAGTGAATCTGAAAGTCGCACTTTTTTCAGGCAAATTGTATCAGGGGTGGCGTATTTGCACAATCTGGGGTATGCACACAGAGACCTAAAACCAGTAAGCATTTTTTTTCAACTTTTGCGAGTAGATAAGTAATGAATTAATTGCAGGAGAACGTCCTTCTAGACAAAGATCAGAATTTAAAACTTATTGATTTTGGTTTATGTGCTCGCCCTGAAGGGGGCATGGGAAGCCCTCTATACACATCATGTGGCTCTCCAACTTACGCAGCCCCTGAGTTAGTCCTAGGAAAGAAATATTTGGGGCCTGAAGTGGACGTCTGGGCTATGGGGGTCCTACTCTATGCTCTTCTAGTCGGGGCTTTGCCGTTTGATGACATAAACATTGATAGCTTGTATAAAAAAATTCTGGTGAGTTGAGTAATGAAATTTATTATCTTAATCAGGTACATAGAATTCTGGTTTTGGTAAAAAATTAATTACTATTACATATTCTACAATATTAAAAGGTCCAATGTGTTGTTTGTGTAAGGACCAGTGCATTCCAAGTTTATTATACAACCGGTTATTTTCTGATTTTAATGTATTATGTAACGACTTTATAGTTCTCTTATTAAAATAAATCACCGGACACATTGAACAGCCCAGAGTGCAACAAAACGTGAAGCAACCACAGAAAAACCAAATGAAATTGTTGATGATATTTCTTTTTAACACCTTATTAATGAGAAAAATCGTTAAAGCATATTCTTCTGGGGCCACTTTCATCCTCAATCGGCTTGGTATTGCGGGGCTAAAGTGGTTGTTGAGGCCAAAGAGGGTCACGTGACCGTTTCCTTTCAGTAAAATCGGTTCGATGCTTTGCAAAATTGTGCTGTAGACACTTTCTGAACTACTGGAATCTGGCGGTTGCATTTTACAAACTTACTTGGTGACATTTTTCATACGTAAAAGTTGCATTTTGTGTCAGATCTGCTTGTCATTGTCAAAAAATAATGTGTGATAATTTTTTCAGAGTGGCAAATACGCGGAGCCCCCTTTCCTGTCTCCCGAAAGCAAACGCCTCATTAGTTGCATGCTCCAAGTGGACCCCAAAAAACGCATCACCGTTCAAGAACTCCTCTCACACCGTTGGCTTACGTTGGGTATTCTCGATCCAGTCGATTACAATTCAATAGATTTGAAAAAGTACGACAAAGATTGTGTCGATGTTATGGCATCGTATTACAACGTAAACCCCGAAAGAATGTGGCGCCATTTGAAAAAATGGAAATATGATTATCACACCGCCACGTATTTTTTGCTACTTTCGAGAAAAAAACGAGGGGCTGTTTTGAGACTGTTATCTCTTTCGGGACAGTTACACTTGAAAATGAGGTTAGAGGAGACACCGCGAAAAGAGAGGCCACAATTAAAACCCTTGGTGATAACTCAAGAACAGCGGTTGGGTATTAAAGAGGATCAGACACCGTACTATGACTGTATTGAGAATATCGAAAATTGCAAACCTGCGAAAAATGAAAACATTGATAGTCCGAATGTGTTCCTTGAACCTGAGAAGCCCTCAAGTGTACGAAAACCTCAAAAGAGGGTGAGGAGCCCCACTTTGGGAGAGGAAAGTTCGCCAGGTACGATTTTTGATATTTTACTACACTCGTGCAATAAGAAGTTCCCAAATCTATTTCCACTATGTTTTCAGTGTCACAAGAACATCAAACATTTATTCTCTTGTTTCCATTCTTTCTGGTTTATATGTTTTTCTTCCATTTCATATATTTTTTTAGTGTTAAGCGGCAATATGCAAATTTTTGATCACATTTTATGTTTATTTAACTTTAGTTGTCTTTGTTTTGTTCTTTTATCTTTAATTTTATTCCAAGCTGTGACGTTAGATTATTCCATTTCCTTTTTTTCCTTTAAGTTATAAATTTTTATTCGACAATTTGCCTTCTTGGGTGATAATTTTTCGTCTTCAGTTTTATTCAATTTTGTATTTGTTGTATAAAATGTTCCCAATGTCCAAGATTACATCATTTTGTTGTTTTCTTTTATGTTGTTGTGAAATAATTGTTTTATTTCGTTTTGTAGTGCATTTTTTATCATAATTATGTCCAACTATCTTCTTTTCAAAAATATCACTTTACTTTTTATTTTTTGATTCGATATATGTACGTATTTTATTTCAAACCCAATAATTTTAATCGTTCTAAAAATTCGACATTCCCAAATACCAACCGTTCCCCTGCCCACAAAAACAAACAAAATCATATTTTACGAAAATATTTATTCATGTTTCTGTTTTACTTTGATTTCTATTTTTTCTTATTGAGCGTCCTCTGTTTTTCCCCATGCACGACCACCTGTTCCTCCACGTGCAACCCTTTCCGTTTTCTTATCGCTTTTCTCAGTTTGGTAGCCCTGATTGCCGATTCCACATTTACGTCTTCCTCATCTTCATCGTCTTCCACCGGTTCGTAAAACGGATCGCCATCTATGATTTCAAAATGGCTGAACTTCAAAGTCGGAATCGCTTGTCCAGAGGTCGTTTTTCTCATTTCGTTAGCAAAACCCGTACTTTCGACAACCGGAATTTGGGCTTTGACGAGGAAGCTTTTCTCTTGTTCGTCCATTCCGACGGCGTCCAAAACCTTCCCATGTCGTTTACTCACGACTGAATAGACTTTTCCTAAAATATTTGTGTTGACTTGAATACTCGTCGTAAACATCGGTTCCATGAGTCTTTGTTGTTGTTTTTCGAAAGCTTCGCGAAAAGCCGAACTTAAAGTGGATTCGATATTTACACTGGTTTTGGTTGTTCCATCCAAAATTTCGTCATGGATAACTTCAAAATTTTTGATTAGGAAAACACAGTTCTTCAATGGCTCTTCACATAGAGGGCCGGCTTTGCAACACGAATTAAAGGCGTTTACTACAAAGTGATCGAAACACGACCGCACATCTTTCTCATCTAAAGTTTCGAAAATATTCCTGGAGTAATCACTAGTTCCGTTGATTAACAAATTTATACTGTCCGACATGCGCCCAACACTCCATATGTTATTTTTTATTTTAGTCCAAATACCTTTGCACGAATCGAAAACCCCACTCAATTGTTCTCTCACATGTTTAAGTGAGAGATTAGTGGTGTCACTTTTAAATATTTTTAAACTAGGTGGCTTCAAATCTTCAGGTTTTGACTCGCGTTTGGCGAACAATTCGAATCCGTTGGTTTGTTGGTGTTCTTCAACTGAATTCAACAATTTATAATTCTTTTCGATTTCATTGGCTATAACGTCTGGTAAAGCGACTACAACTACGGTTAAGCGAATCTGGGCCAATTCTACTATTACCGAATTCTCCAAATCTTTCTTAAAGTCATTTTTGTTGCTTCCATGAGTTACAGTTTCTCTCAAAGAGACCATCGGACTAGAGACGTTGATTTCAATTTTGGCAAATTTCGTAGTCAGGTCTTCTAGACATTTAGCGAGATGTACGTCTCCTGCTGTTAATAAAACATACTCTCCTGACTCTTCGATTACGACTTGGACGCAAGAATCGCTTTGCATTAATACCCGCAAGCCCTGTCTTAAAATTGGAACGTCTTTAGGATTGACCGGTTCGATGGAATTTCGTACTATGGGAGGCTGCGAAGGGTGTTCAATAAATGGTACACAATGTAAACTGGCCGACAAAGTTGCTGTGCGAACTATAGCCGACTCAAGGCCCCCTATACCACATACATTACCGGCGGTTATCTCATCAACTAGAACCAATTCGCGACCAAAAAGCATATAAAGTTCTTTAATTTTCACCAACTGGGCATGCTTGACACTTGTTTTCTGTTCTTCAGGGACGTATTGAGGTGACAAAACATAAATCTCTTGACCTGTTTTAAGACAACCGGTGAATACTCGCGCTAAAGCAATTATAGAAAATTCATCCTGAAGTTTCTCTTCTTCAGTGTTATTTTTCTCTTCCGATTTATCATTCGTGTGGTTAGCTTGTTCGCTGTCCTGTTTTGGTTCAGTATTTTTAGGTCTCGGCTTCGGGATAAAAACTTTAGGTTTATTTTGTGACAAATTCTTATTGTCGACGCAAAACATCTTCGAAACATATGCAGTACAAGGTGTTGAATCGTCAGATGAACACGATTTGAAAATTGTTATTAATTTTTCGAGGCAATTTTTGTGAAACTCATTTTCGCAAAATTTATTAAAATCAAGGAGATATTTAATTCTCTCTGCACCCATATTTGACGGTGGTGAAATAATTTTCATACATTGGTGTAAAATGATTTCTGCTAAGGGGCTCCAGGCTTGCATTATGGCCTTTACTTGGATTTTCGGGTCCGTATGGTTCATTTCTCGTGTCAAGTTGGTAATGTTCAATTTCTGAGCAATAGTATTAACTTTGTCCTTCTGCATTTGTAACACTATAGTCGAGTAGATGTGAAATATCGTTTTTATACACAGCTGGACAAATAAGTTCGTTTTGCCTTTTTCTATCGCTCCTAATTTAATTGTGTTTGTTTTACCGTCGACGTAGGCATCAAAATTCCACAATTTCGTATTTAGCGAGTCCAGGGTTTCACTTTTTATAGTATTGATAAACATGGAAGATATTTGTTTGGTGGTAAAGCCCCAACCGTCGATGGCACTTGCAAAAATCACGTTTCCGACATCAGGTGAAAATAAAAGTCCGGTATCTTCAATATCGATGTCGGAATTGCAATATTCGTATTGGTAAAGTTCTGCAACTATCGCATTGCAGTTCTCAATCGCGTGTAAAATCGACTGGAAAATGTCGTTCACTTCCTTGTGCAACTCCACAATTAATTTATCAATTTTATTTAAAATTAATATCATTTTACACCGTTCTGTAAACGCCTGTTTGATGGCTTCGCGTGTTTGTACGCACACACCTTCCACTAAATCGACTACAATTAGAGCCCCATCGCAGACGCGTAGGGCTGCGCCCACCTCTGACGAAAAATCAATATGTCCAGGTGTATCAATTAAATTCAACAAAAGCGGCTTTTCTTCTTTCGTATCTTCATCTTCTACTAAATTTATCAAAGAAACTGCACTACTTTTCATGGTAATTCCACGCTCTTGCTCATCCAGTCGATCATCCAAATATCTGACTAGACCAGCCATGCGTTTGCTTACTAAACGATTTGTGGCTAGCAAAGAATCCGCGATTGTAGTCTTGCCATGGTCCACGTGTGCCAAAATGCATACATTTCGTATGCAGGATGTGTTGTTCATGCATTCTTGGAGGACTTCGAGTGGGGCACCCATGCTGAAAAAAATAATTTTTGAAGGTTTTGTGGGGGTGGCACGAGGTTAGGTGTATTCACCAGGGGGGCCGTTGTCGTTTTAAAAAACTTACTTTAGTGAAATCGTGGTTAAAAACGATGAAATGTGTAGAAAATGACAAGGGATAAATTGAGGTTATGTCACATTTCATGCAGTGACGCAGCTGTCAGAAATAAAGGAGGTTTAGAGCGAAGTTACGTTAAATAAAGGCAAGTTTACACGCTACCCAATATGTTGCAATTGATTGAAATTTTACAATTAGCGTCTGTAATTAATTTTTGCATATTTTGTAATATTCTGCCAGCATTTAATATTGTGCATCAGTTTACAACCCGGTTTATACGTCACGATGAATTATTTTTGAATTTCTAATTATTTTTTTGTCCTAAAATGTGATTTTAACATGCCTTTTAAAAATGTTAAATTGCTTACTAAAAATTTGTATCAACTTACTATATTACATCGTTAATCGCCAATTAAAAATGCGAAAAAAGAGGTTTCAAGAAGAAAGAATAAAATTGTTAAATGTGACTAAAGATGCAAAAACATGGGCGGCAGTACAAAGTGGTTGTATAAAATAGTTGCAGGCGTTAAACAATTGTTTTAGAGTTAACTTTGATAAAATTCTTTCAGAAATTAAGTCAAAAAAGCTTTAACAATCGAAATATTACTGCTGATTTAGGCGAGAGGTTTAGTCATTTTTTTGTGTGGAGGTTTATTTTTTACCACAAGATAAGTCTACTAAAAGTATACATATTTTAATTTGTGATTTTAACTTTATTTTAAAAACTACTTGTCACTATAAATAAATAAATAATAAATATCAAATAATTTATATTAAATCAAGGAAAAACAAATTTTATGTTATTTAATGTAATTCTAACAAAAACCTACGACGCTAAAATGTTTTCTGAAAAAAATGTAGGAAAAATTGTGAAGAGGTTAATCAGTATTTCGTTAAAATAATAAATGTTGAAACGGATCTAAATTTGGGGCATCTTTTATAATCAAAGAAAACTGTTAAGAATAATAATTAGGTTTAATTCAGTTTTTTTTTAAGCAAGCAATTTGTAATAATATTATATAACATTCTAAAATAATTTAGAATGTAGCTGTATGTACTTTATATTTTATTCAAAACAGAAACGAAAATTTTACAGTATGTCCCCGGATTGAGTTTACAAGAGGAAACAAATTTTTATCTTTGATTTTACGCCAAAACTGCAAAGGAAAAAAAGTTTTTGCTTTACTTGAAACCAGCAAATCTGTAATTAAAACTTTATTATTCTAACTCAGTAGAAAGAAAAGTTCACTTTTCTCTGCTTTTTAAGTCTTATCACATTGACGGTTTTAATTATTTGACAACTTTATGTCACTTTGACAAATAATTTATTAATTAAATAATGATAGTTCTTGTTAAAAATGACTTTGGTTTTTACCTTAAAGCTGTTTCTTTGACTTGCTGTTTATTAAAATTATGTTTTTCACAAACATTTTTGTTATTTAACTTGCGTAAACCCATTTGCAAAGTCATTTTTAACAAGAACTATCATTATTTAATTAATAAATTATTTGTCAAACTGACATAAAGTTGTCAAATAATTAAAACCGGCAATGTGATAGGACTTAAAAAGCAGAGAAAAATGAACTTTTCTTTCCACTGAGTTAGAATAATGAAGTTTTAATTACAGATTTGCTGGTTTCAAGTAAAGCAAAAACTTTTTTTTCTTTGCAGTTTTAGCGTAAAATCAAAGATATTTTTTGTCCTCTTGTAAACTCAATCCGGGGACATACTGTATAACGTTAATTATGATATTTTTGACTTACATTTGCTCTATTTTACATAGGTATTCTCAAAAATATACGGTCTGGTGATAACTTTTCTCAAAGAAGTAATAAATTAACTCTTCAAGCTCTGTTGGTGTCTTAAACAAATCTTACCCCGAGGTAATTTAATTGCATAAATCCCGGGTAAACAGCAAATACATCACGAAACAGTCGACAGCAAAGTAGTTAAAACTTTAAATGACTGCATCTTAGTATAGTCTTAAGAGTGCAGATGTGTTTATCAGTGTCCAGTTCTTCAAGGGCTGTTACCTCCTTCTTTATGGCTTAAAAGTCTTAAATTAGTTCAACTTTGCACAAGTGTTCTAAGCACTAATAAGAAAGTGCCGGAAAATATCGTCGAAGCAGTTGGTAAAGTGGTCTCTGGGGTGGCATCGCTCACCCGACCCACGTTAAAATATCACCGTTTTAACTTTGTTACAACGCGACCCTTTATGATGTTGCTGTTATAGCAGCACTATAAAAGCGAATGGGATTTATCCTCTTCCATCAAGTTTCAATTCGATCTTATTTGAATTTTCAGTGCCCAGCAAAAAATCAGCAACGGAGAGATCCACGCCGAAAACTCCAGAAAGGTGAGTCGAAAAATTGCTCACTAACGAGGCGAATTTTTGCCGACTAATTGGCATACCGGACTTGCGTTTGTCTCCCTGATTAAGCGTTCCGACCATGGTAATTGAAGCAGTAAAGTGTCGAGTATATGGAGTGTAGGGGTTGTAAACAAGGGGTTGAACGTGCTTGGTGAACCTGCACGCGGTTACTGCCTCGATGGCCGGACATGTTTACCAGCTTTGATTATCATAAACATCGGTTTCCGGTCCGTTTGGATGGCACGATTTGTGTACTTGTGTGAAAACTGGCCAAGGACGAATCGGGGGGACATTTACTACCACGAATTTATTTTATCGATTCATAATTTGTTGTAGAAAGAGGTCTGCCTCAAATTCTGAAACTCCGGGATCGGCTAGGAGGGTTTTGGGAAGTATAGAGCGGTCGTTGCATAAAGTACGACATGTGCTCACACCGAGGAAAAATTCAGAAGATCCTAACCAACCGGTGATTTTGAGCACCAAGGTAGAGTATTCGCAATTAAAAACAATTATTTCTTGGTCGAATTTCTTTTTCGGTTGGTCGGAATTTACAAGAAATTGTCTTTAAACAAATAGAAAAAATGCGATTTGAATAAAAATGAAATTTTTCATCTTGTTATATTTTTTGTTGTAATTTTAAGAAATATGTGTTTTATAAATCAATTTCTTTGAAAATATTTTCGCCTTTATGAGTGGTAAAAAGTGTACTTAACAAAGGTGGGAATTTTTGCCGAGTGTTGGTGATGTATTGTCTCATTAAAGCCTCAGGTTAGACAACTTCATTTTAGTCTTTCATGTGAGCACCGCTTTGGCCATAAGTTATACCATAATGGCGTTCCGAAAGAATTACAAGAATAACTAAAATTCAATGAATATCTGAACGGCCATAGCTTCATTACTTGCAGCCAATACTCCCAGCCCATAATTTAGAAACTTAAGTAGATACTTAATTTTTTCTAGGATTTGTGTAACGTCTCGACTACTCAATGCAACGATCCCGAATACGTAATTACCGAGCTTTCGAAAGCTTTCCAGAAGAAAGGCTTTGAATGCGTCCGCAAAGGGTAAGTCCGCGCAAATAAATAAAGACGTTCTAATAACAAGCTTATGAAAAACAGCTCCAGTTAATAGACGTTGCAATTTTCACACACATCTAAAAACGGCACGGAGCAAGTTGACCGCTTAAAATGATACATATGCACATAATATGCATTAATTTAGCCTCGGGCCGTTCGGTCAGAAAGTGGTAACATCTTTTTCTTGATGTTTAGTAATTTACGACCCTCAATAACCGATATTTCAACAAGCAATTAGCATACCAGCGGCTAAACGAATGCCTCAAACGTCTCATAATTCATACGCTAATCAGTTTTACTAACACTTAATTAGTTATTTGGTAAATAACATATTTCGTACTTAATCAAAATCGACAAGGGGATTTTTTTGCACGAAAATTAGCCTACACCTACGAGGTGCGAACGAATAATCAGTAAAGAGATGATGACCTAAGGCCGTTTGCCGGTTTGCGAAATAATCCAGCAATAATTTATTTATAACGAGTTACGCATTTTGCATTTTGGATGATAGTGAGGGATTGGAACAATCAATTTGTATAAACGTCCTAATTACCATTTTTCTATAATACATACAGATTGAACAAAAAGTTTAAACCCAAGCGTTAATTACAAAGTTGGAGTACAGTGTTCCAATTATAGGAGTCACTTTACTTTTATCAAATTGTAATATTTTTTGTTTCTTTTATGGGACAGAAGTCTGAGGCTTTTTTAAATTTCGGATAGATGATGATTTTACTTTTATTCAAAATTTGTTTATTGTTCAATGCGGAACGGTTGTTGTTTCTATTTTTGGTAATAATCTTTTTTTTGTTTAAGGCCAAAATTTTACGTTTTTTGAGCTAAGAGAGGAAATTTTCTGAAGATTTTTTTTATTTAAACTTAACATTAAGCTGTTTTTCTCAATTAAATTTGATGTATAATATTTTTTTCTCGAACTGGTGCTATGCACCAACTAATTACTGAAATATTTTTATAAATGAACGATACTTTTTAGAATTAGCTTTATTATAGTTTATTATTGTTCTCGTAGCGCATCGTAATGAAATGAAATTTTATGAAAATGAAAGGTTATTGTTATGTCTTTCTCGACAAAAGTTAAGTTTTAATAGTAATATAATTGCAGTAAGATGATCACATTTTTTAGTATGTACATACTTACTTGACTTACTTCATGTGATGAATACAGGGTGATTCAGAAAAATAATGAGCCTTATGTCACTCTGATAACAGTGCAGAGAACGATCATTAGTGATAGAGAAATTAGAGAAGTCTTTTCGGTGTAAACCCAATACAAAATGTATGAAAGAATGAAACATTAAAAGTAGGCAAATAGTTTTTTTATACAAAATCATTAGTGCTGTACAATTTGGCCGACCAAACCGGCCCTAAAATTTAACCAGGTTAATTAGTTCATCAGCCAATTAGTTAAACCAAATTAACCGGTTAAATCAATTAACTAGTTATTATTAAATTAATTAAACGGTTAACTGATTAACCAGTTAAATGTTAATCGGTTAAACAATAAATTCATATTTTTCCATATACTAAAGTAGAAATTATTATTAAATCATATATTTATAATATATTTACCTTAAAAATATGAATGTTCTGTTTAACCGATTAACCATTTAACTGGTTAATTGTTAACCGTTTAACTAATTTAACCGATTAACTAGTTAATTGATTTAACTGGTTAATTCGGATTAACTAATTGGCTGATGAACTAATTAATCTGGTTAAATTTTATGGCCGGTTTGGTCAGCCAAATTATACAGCACTAAAAATCATAAATTGCATTCAGAGCAACATAAGATAACTTGGACTACAAATGAAAATTGTAATTAAAATTAAATAAAAACGTAAATGAAATTTGTTTTTTGGGTTGAACTGCCAGAACGTCGGGCTTATTATCTTATCTGAATCACCCTGTATAAAGCCAAAAACGCTTGATTGCTTACTTTTTGTTCTTCTTGTATATGTCGTAGTCATTGGGCGTAATGCGTCATTCCGCGGAAAGCCTAGTCTTTGGCCGTACTGCCAGCAAACGCTGTAATCAAATGAATATTCCTTTGTTTGACTGAAATTTTACGTCATTTCAGGGATTGCCTACTTAATTCTCGTCAAACAAAGTAACCGGTTAAAACATTACATGTTACAGCGTTTGACGAAAGTGTATTTAGTCATTTGCTGAAAGCTTGAAATTTTATTGTGTAGTATTTCGGGCCGTAACATTTAGTAATTGTTGGACTTTTCTTATTCAAAATGTATCATAAGAGTTTGTTTTATGACAAATTAAATGAATATTATTTGAAAAACAAAGATGCCAAAAAACCGTGGAATTATGAAGTAATGAAGGAGGTAAAAGACTTCTAACCTCGAAATACACCTTTATTTCAGTATGTACATATTTTAGGCTGCAAAAGATATTTCTTAAGAATATATTTTTATTTTTGTTTAATTTACCTGAAGGCAAAAAATACATTTTTAACTGTTGTTTAGGTCATGTACTTACCGTTTTTTGTATGATTTTATAATATTATATGTTTACATTATTCCAAATAAACGAAACAAATATTTTGCTACAATAAAAATGTTTTAGTTTTTTTTCTTTTATTTTCTTCTACCAAAAATTTACATTTCTACAGAAAGTATCAAACATTTCAAGATTTTTCAGCAAATGACTAAATACACTTTCGTCAAACGCTGTAACATGTAGTGGTTTAACTGGTTACTTTGTTTGACGAGAATTAAGTAGGCAATCCCTGAAATGACGTAAAATTTCAGTCAAACAAAGGAATATTCATTTGATTACAGCGTTTGCCGGCAGTACGGCCAAAGACTAGGCTTTCCGCGGAATGACGCATTACGCGCAATGACTACGACATATACATAATGTATGTTGTACATACAGTTACGGCCGTTGAAAGCTAAGTTACTTTGACAAATTCAAAATTTTGTTGTAAAATGCCTTAAATCGGAAGTTTCTAAAATGTCATTCAAATAATACGAATGAGTGTCGTAGAGTAGAAAACTTTACTTCAAAACAATGAACTTAAATTTTGTAGACAGAAATACCTAATATTTTATTGCAACACCATTCGAATCCGAAAAATTAAAACTCATATTGTCATCGTTGATGAAAACCTATTTATACTTTATAAATTTTTAAAATAGCAAATAGTATGCTAAAAGTCAATGACTTAGATTTCAAGGACCGCATTTGTACATACCTGTACATACTTTTTATGTATTTTTTTTTGAAACGGTGTTAATAGTTTTTCGGATATTTTTGTGTAGTTTCATCGTGATTTGTTAGGAATGAATGGATAAAAATGGTACGTTTAGAATGCGATTTTGGGGCGGGCCCTTCGTGGGTGTGTGGTCGCTTCCCCTTGTCTCGCCGTTAACTAGAAAGCCGTCAGGAATTAATTAACGTCATAAAATTTTAATAACGATCCATAATGATTACGAGTGGCATCGTTTCCGGAATAATCTCACATAAACTGAGTAAATTTATCGTTATCACAAATAAAAGAGATACATTTCAGATAATATGCAATTGTGGTGATATTACGGCTATCTAGTCCGATATTTACCGTAGAATTTCGATAAAAAGAAGAGAAACCGCCGACTGACCAAACGGTAGCACTCATTTGGTATTTCATTGACGACTAGTCTTAAAAATGAATGTCTATCTCGCTTCCTCGCATCAAATCGAACAAATCACGGATTATTCAAAGAACTGAAAATGCACGGGAGACCGGAAATCATATCAACCGCCGATTTACGTGATTCAATGCGATCGAATGAATGCCAGGTTTTTTCGAGAAATCTCGAGTCATCAGACTATAAGGACCTCAGATGTTGTGACATTTAATTACTTGAGACGGTTTACTTTACATAGAGCTTCAGGCCGACAAATTCCTTTTTCTAATGACATAATTCATTCATTCGAGTCTACAATCAGATCGCAGACCTTGTAGCTTATTCAAATTAATTTTAGTTCTCCGGATTTTAGCCTACAGGTCTAATAATATTTTAATTGATTTCTACCAGTATCTAATTTCTCCGCAAGCGAATTTCACTATTTCACTTCGTTTCCTGCTATCGAATCAAAAAAAAACAAAAGTTGTAATACCCGGATTTAAAAAAATAAACAAGGAACAAATCGCTGAAGTACAATCTATGCAGTTTACCCTAGGTTAAGACTCGTTTAGTTGTTAAACAAGGACTACAGATGCGTTCCCATGCATAAATTACGTCCACTTTGGTCTGAACTGAACTGCTGTCCATTCAGAACTTCAACAGAACATTGGATTTATTCGAACGGAATTACAACATTTCCAGTTCACAAACGTTTAACTTTGTTAAAATTTAACGTTGGTTTTGTTTTTTTTTGTAGGTAATTTGAATTATGCTATTACGTTTTTTGTTTTTAAATACTCGCCTTGTAGCAGCTACTTTAAACTTTTCTAAGATTAGAACACGTTAAGAATTACCGTGTAACACGCATTTATCTACGATAAAGTGTCATTTACGTCAAACTTATTTAATGAGAAACGAGAGATTTTTTGTATTTAAAAACTGATTGCTATTCTAATTAAAACACGAAAAAATATACAGGGTGTCAATTTTAAAACTTGCAATAGCCAATATCTCTAGAACTAAAAAAGTTATTGAGAATCACTCAAAACCGTTTTGGTGGTTTTTAGGGGGAATCAAAATGACATGGTAAGGACGCTCCTCCACCCACCCTTTAAGCCACAGCCACCTTAAGTTGAAAATTTTAAATGGCAAGACCCTACTTGCGATACATTGTTGGAAAGCCCATAACAAGTGCTTTTCAAAAATGTCATACAACAGCCTATTTGGTAAAATCATTTTTCCAATTATTCAAAAACGAAGACGTTAAATTTTCATTTTTTTATTATATTTAAAGGTGGGTGGAGGTGTGTCACTTATCATGTCATTTTAATTCCCCCTAGGAACCACCAAAACGGTTTTGAGTGATTATTAATAACTTTTTCAGTAAGTTTTAAAATTGACACAGTGTATGTTTTGTACTGAAAATTACAATTTTTTGATTGTTGAAGTTACAATTTTTTTATGACATATCAAGGGTACACAGGCTGTTTCAGAACTGACGCTCCAGAGAAAAATGCCATGTAAGGTAAGGTAAAATTTCGAAATTTTGGGAGTTTAAATTTTGCATTTGTTTATTCTGTTTATTTCTGTTGGAAAAATAATTTTCAAGGTTTTTTTTTGCTGCAGGCTATTAGAAGAGAAAACAAGGAAGCTATATCCTAAATTGTAACTATGGTTATTGACGTTATTTTATGGCTTTTATTGGCGAAATTTTTGTACCTTCTCTAAATAATTATGAAAAAACATATACAAGATTATCAGTAACACTAAATAGACCGAATTTTACGGCACGAAGCGAAGCTGAGTGCTGCATTGGAGGTCCAAGACCTGAAAAATAAAACAGCGCACGTGTATCGAACAACATTTTTCATGATCGTCATCGAAATTTGATAAAAAACGTGAATTTATTGAAAATTTTGAGGTTAATTTTGACAGATGTCAAATATAAATTAATAAATTTCTATATTTAGTTATATACCACTTTCCACCTTATGCATCTAAGGGAACTCATAAAAAACATTTTTTCCATGTTCTTTCTTATTCGGAATTTTTCCCTGAAACGCGAGTTCTGTAACACCCTTTATCTAATTTACAGGGAATCTCAACTATTTTCTTTTAATGGATAGATGAATTAAGATTTCAATTTTTTATAGTTTTGTAGGATTTTTCATGTACAAACTTAAAAAATCGTAGGCATTCAGAGAAATTCTTCTTTGGAACAGTCAGCAGATGGTTTTTTCTCTTTCGATTCGTAACTCTGGCTGAAAATTGCGTTTTGTAGTAAATTAACGTCACCTTTATCTCAGTGAGGTGTTAATTGATATGCCGCCAATGCGAAGAACCATTAGTCCGGCCTCCGGATCGTTTTACTATTCAGTCCATGTGTCCTCTCTAGAGTCTCTAGATGACGGACGAACCGACGTGATCTGCTCGTATCGGTGCGTCTCTTACACGGAATAGATACACGAAGATAGCGAGACCGTGATGGCATTTGCTAATCGTTTGCGATTCCACAACCAGCGTCGCATAATTAGCTTTTAAATTAGGTGTTAACATTCTTCGCGAATATTTCACGATAAAAACGAACAAGAAGTTTAAGCACGAAACTGAAATTTCAGATTCACTTTGAGGGGCAAAGTGGAGGCGAATGTGTTGCATCCCTGCAACGGATGTTCTTTCGAATTGGAAATTTGCTATTTGCCTCCTTTGGGGGTGATTACATCGCGGTCGCAAAGCTGCGATACTCCACCCAGATCGATTTTGAAAAATGGGCCGATGAGTTTTGGTACTCCGACGAGTGTGGGTGCGTCTGTGACGACTCCTTCGTCCTATAAGAAGAACAAAAAATTGGAGGTGGGGAAGGAAAGGCATTTTGGGTTTATTGGGATCAAGAGGAAGCGTCTCAAAGGCGACTCTTGGTGTTACAAGAAGGTTTGTGAAGAGGTTTTAGCGGTCACTACAAAGGATTTGAGACAAGTGACCGAGTCGGCAGTGTGATTTTGGTTGAGGAATAATTATCATTTTTTATTTTATTTATATTCTGCAATGTGGATGTACTTAATTTCTTATATAATAAATAAATTTATTTAGTGGAAGTGTACAAGGTGTTTTATTTGATTTTTTGTTGAAAGTTTGGTGATTGTTGTGAAATTATTTTTTTCGGGTATTTGAAGGTAAGTAAGTAATCGCTTTTGCGGTATTTTTATAATTGGTGTATTTTATAATTACTGTCACCTTTTTGGTTAATTATTGCATTGTCGTGTTAAAAAATTAGCCCATTTTTTTTTAATTAAAACCACAAGCAGTTCTTGAATTATTGTGAAATCTGTAGTTGATTTCTAGTAAATTGTTTATTTCCTCAACGTTGTTTACCGAAATTAAAAATAATAAAAATGTTTTATTGTTTTCTAAACAATAAAACCATGCAAATTGGTTCTTTCACAACGTAATAATTTGAGTTGTTTGTACAGGGTGTTTCAAGTGTATAAAAATTAATGACTGAAGAGGAGAGCACTCGTAAAAGAAACAGAAACCGTTCTTGATAATTACGACCGTGATCGGTATTATGTATTATCGGGTGTAATATGTACCATTCAGTTTAATTAACGCATAAACCAACTGACCGATATGTTAATACTAATGACCGTAAAATTAATAACAACCGGAATTATTAGGCTAATGAACGAGCTTTAATCATGACATAGGTTACCATTAAGTATTCTGTTCAAAAGGCGAAGCACAGACGAATGTTAAGGACGGTCGTTTACATACAGCTGTTCAATAATTCATTTCACACCACTCGCTGTTATTAAAACTGTGGAGAAAAACGTTTGTTTATAATCGGCGATAATCTCCCATCTTGATAAGCGCCGTTTTTCTATGAATTTTTGCCAATTCTTTGATTAGTACTGGTCTGCCCATATGGTCTTTCCCATGGTAGTAACGGTTCGATCAGGTGTCACGTGACAGGTGTATTTTAAATGACACGTGCCCAAGGAATTCCCTCCAAGTGGTCGTTACTTGATATTAGCCAGACATGATTCTTGACTTATTCCTAATAACAGGGAAGGGTTAAAAACCCGGCCTTTTTAAGTGGGTGTTTTTATGATGTTGTCAGTACAACTATTTGCTAATGGTTGTTTTCATAATACACGACAATAAGCTATTCATATTAAAGGATTGCCACTTAATAAGTAGGAAGACACAACGACAAAAAAATGTGAATTGGTCGTGTTCTATTACCTATGTAATCAAACGGAAAATTAAAATGTGGCCATGTGCTCTGTTCTCTGCTATATTTCATTCAGAATCCTTGCATTACCATAGCTGTGGTAATTTTTGTGATAAAAACCGAGCTTAATTTGAATTTTAATGATATCCGCGTCATACGGAAGGACGGTTGATTCCAACGTCTACACAGCTGATCACGGGGTAACACCGTCTTTTCCAGTTTCTATTAGACAAGATTCCCGCCAAGAAACTACCCTCGCACACCATATGTTATTACATTAGTTAATACGCGACGATCGTTACATGTCGTGTCTTCGTCAGGAACTTGGGGTGTTTTTATAATTTACGGGGAGGTTTATTACATCTAGATAAATTGACGGTTGTCATTTCGGTTTTCATCAACCGATTCTTGAAGAAAATAACCTATCATTTATTGCAATGTTTCTTGCAAGTATACAATTAAAACTGTCAATTTTTTATTTTCTATTTTAACTGCTTCCATAAATTGAATATTTTTTACCTAATCGTGAGGGATGTTATTATAAACACGAAAAAATAATGAACAAAAACACGATTAAACCCGTCGCACCAAACTTCAATTTTATTCTCAAAGTGGAGGACCACTTTGTGGTTGAAACGCGTTGTGTTTTAAATAAAAGTTAGGTGTGACGGGTTTAATCGTGTTTTTGTTCATCGTTTCCATACCAAGAGGATCCAAGAAGAAGACGAAAAATAAGGTAACAATTATTTTGGACGAAATTAATTTGCCCACTAAATTAATGATAAACGTATTGAATTACATCTTTTTCCTACGACCATATACGAAACTAGATCATAACGCACAATTACATATGTGCGAAAATTGAGGTCGAAAACCTGTGCGATTTGTTTTCGCACTGTGTGTTAGAAATCTAACGCACAATTTACACTCGAATGTTTTGTATTTTTTTATTTAACGTATTTTTTTTTGTATCCATTATAAAAAATAAATCGTTCTTCAACGTATTTTTGTATCCATTATAAAAAATAAATCGGTATGAAAGAAAAATATGTTCGTAAGAAAAAAAATATTTATGGTCGTAGGAAAAATAGTGTACAAAACTTGCAGGAAAGTGTCTAACGCACTCGCGGTATTTATTACTTTCCGTGCTCGTTATGTAATATACCTACTATTACATTTTTGTGTAATTACTAATTACACTAGTTTACACGATTTTTCTACCTAAACTGAAAGTTATAATTTCTTATAGATTTTGAGGCACTATAAGTTCCAAATTTTTTTTTAAAAAGTTCACTACGACACGTTTAAGAAATATGTAATTAACAAAAATACAAGAACCGTCAAACAACAAATTAAACTGTTATTTAATTACTTTGTTTTTTATAATTTTTTGGTTCAGTTTTTTAATGAAATTTCGATCCATTTTGTCCCGTTTGGTGATAATTTTGCAATAATTCAGCAACAGTTTGAATTTTAAATCGAAGGCATTTGTGCAGAAAGCAGGAAAATTATCGTTCGTAACAAAAAATAAGTTATTTTTGTTAAATTAAAGACAAATAAACATACAAATAATAATTCTCATAATATTAAACAAGTTATAATTTGTAAACTAGTGTTATTAAGGAAGTTTGTATATTTTTACATTTTTTGTATTTAAATCAGCAACAAGATGTTTTTTTCTCTTTTCTCAAATTGGGTATATTGTCTCTTATTAGTGTCACATTTATCTCTCAACTTTGACCACATGTTTCTGTGTTTGTAATGCGATAACAACTAAGATCCGATAAGTGGCAATAAAATACATTGGAAGAAGCAGAGCTATGATCACAGAAGGCGACAATCCTTTAGTTATGGTTCCCAGGCCCAACTTGAGCCAAGTTGGGAAGAACTTCCATTTAACAAGGATTGTTTATGCCTAATATGTAGTTGCGCGGGAATTGTATGAAAATAAACGTCATTTTCTCTTCGAGAGTGCGTAAATTCTTATCGAAAGCGCCTGTTTATTAATTTCGTGATTTATGGACGCCGTTTGAACAAATGATAAATATTTGTTTAGAGGATGATTGATCGTTTTGTAATTGCACTAATGGAGTTTGTTCTAATGTTGTGTATGGGTAATTATTTTCGTCGCCCGCTTGATTTAGCGTTGAAATCGCCGAGATAAATTAATTATAATGGTTGGGCTACTTCGCTACTTGTTGTGTTTCTTTGATGTTTTGCGATGTTAGTTTTGATTGTGGTTGTGTGATGTCAACGATCGCATTATAGCAGGTTAAGGGTAATTGATTTATGACTGTTCTCAAGACTGATAACTGAAATTACCAGACTTGTGCATCCGTGGCAAAGTTAGATTTTTTTTCATTAAATAACTTTGCTAATGTGGTACCACTTTAATACATTATGCCATATAATCCGTTATTTAAAGACACAAATTTGCATTTTATGCCCATTACGGCGTTTTCGCTCAAAACAGCTTGTAGCATTTTTTCTGTTTGTGTAAAGAGTGGTCATCAGAATGAGGAAGATGCTTTGATATGTTTTATAGGTATTGAGAAAGTGAGTGCAGAGATCGTGATAAATCTACGAATTTTTACTTGCAACATCTAGTATTTATGATGGCGTATTAGAGTCGGCTACTCTAGGTCTCCTTGAATAATAATTTCGCTTAGTTGGATGAAAGGTAGTGTATTTTATTGCTTCTTTAGCGCCCGCCTGAACCCTCGACATGTGCACAGCTAGTGAAGATTAAAGCGGCCGTTGTAAAGAAATGTTCACAATTTCTTGTAAATATCCCATAGCCATTTATCTGCCGTTCATAAAACACACATAAAACCAATAGTTCTAAATCTGATCTCATCGGGTGGTAAAGAGGAAAACGCAGAGTAAAATATATCTAGTTAAAATAATCTCCTCGATCCGGATGAGACCGCCACTGAGCGCCATTTGCACAGAATGGCAGTAACTAATGCCCTCTGCCGGCAGTAAACTACAAATAATTGTTGCAGATAAGATAGCGGCTGCTGAGGTGCCAGAACTGATTTACATACAGCTCATGATTCTGGGCTAAGCCGACTACACAATATGGATAATATAAGGTGTAGATACAGTCTCTTGCGCCGCATCTTTTGATTTTATCTGCATTGTCGTTAGTCGGCGATTTACGACTCGTTACTGTCGGCTAATACCTAATTTCGGATGATCTGTGGCCTTTAAAGGGATACTTACCCAAGCCACTCTAAACAAACATTATCTGCGCTACACGTGATTTATCATAGATCGGTACGATTCTTATCTTAATATCCTGTAAATTCTGCGCATATTTTATATACGAGAGCGCAATGTATCATTTGTGGGCGCCGGTTGCCGGCTTAGATTTGTTGCAATCATATTTTATTTTTTCGTAATTATTACTCGGACGAGATCCATGCAAACAAAACTGATGATGTATGGCCAGATCGCTGGATTGATTTGAACGAGGGAGGGCCCAACAACATAAATTTACACCACTCCTGACGTTTCTTCGATTCCCTTTCTGGCGAAGTGAGAGCTATAATCAAGAAAATTATGTAAAGAAAATTTCGACACTTGGTCATACGAGTGGGTGTAATTTGTAAACGTGGTTTTATTTCACATTCAAGTAGAAGTTGTTATCCAACATTTTGGGTAACCAAATATCCGCGTTTATATTAAGATCCTTAAAATTTTATGATAGACTTAAGTCAATGGCGTGAATTATGCTTGGATATCATCATTTGTTTCCATTGTTCTAGACAGTTAAAAATGTTTGTTTCATTTTAAGGACAATAATTACGATATCAATAAATGTTACATTTTCTTTGTACATACAGGGTGTTCGTTTTACGAGC